CCCGCCCACAACGGTCCAAGAGAGCCCCGACTCGCCGAAACGTACCTGAAAGACGCTGCCAATAGCCTCGAGACGGCCCCAGACACCTCCAAGACGGCCCCGAAGGCCTCCAACAGCACCCCCACGAGGGCCCGAAGAGGCAAACATCTGTCATTTCTATCATGATTTGTGTTTCACTTTCGGCGTTTCTGAGTTTTCGGGCTCCAGACGCTCCAAGACGGCCCAAGGACCCCGAAGATCGCCCAAGACTCCAAATTCCTTATCAATCGTCCCCTGGGTCCGGTTTTTTAAGGCGCCTTTTTTGTAACTGGGGGGGTCCAGTTTATTAGGGCGCTGTCTTTGAATTGGAGCTCAGGGGGTCCGGTTTAGGAAGGCGCCCCGTCGAAGAGAGGTGTCCGGAATCTTAGGTCGCATTTGGAGGGGGTCGGGTCTTTCAGGGGGGGCGATGAATGAGGGATCTGGAGTGCGGCCTGCAAAGCCCCCAAGACGGCCCCGAGGCAACCTCAAAGGAGGGCTCCACAAAAGCCCCCACCAAAAACCTCCATAGGGCGGCCCAGGCAGGGTCCCGCACGGACACGTCGAGCCCGCGGCCCCAAGAAGCCCCCCGAAGGCCCAAGAGGCCCCAAGGGGCCCCCAGAAGACCCCAGGAGGCCCCCAGGAGGAATCCAGCAGGCCTCCTCAGAGGGCCCCAAGAGGAAGACATCCCAACGGACAACCTCGGGGCCTATGACTTACAACCCAGGCACGGCGGCGGGATGGGCCGAAGCCAAGAGATACAGCAGTCGCGATTGGTACCTGGCCCTTTGGATAGCAAACTCGACCTCGCACCACCCCACCGCCGATCAAACATGTCTTGGCTGGAGATAGATCACACGCGGCTGTAAGGGGCGGGGGGGTGAAGGAGATATAACATTATCTGGGGCATCCGTCTAATTTCCCCCTCCCCCGCTCCCCATGCTCCTCGCTCCCATCCTCCTCCCACTCCACCCGGTCCTCCCTCCTGCTCTTCACCCTCCGTCCCGCGCCCCCACCTCTTTTCCAAACATTGATTCCCCCTCATCCTTTTCTTCTGCAATGTTGGACAAACTTAAACTGAAATCATGGAGCGTGACACGGTCAAAAACAATGCCGACTCGGGCATAATGCACAACACGTTGAAACTGCGGCGGATGTGGGACATAAGAACAAACTACGGGAATAGATGAAATCCGCAACGTAACTACGCAAGCAGCCGGAGGAGGAGGCAGGACCAACCGAAATAGGTAGCATACAAAAGCAGCTAGACTTACGAAGGACACATCGAGGTACAGGTGGAGGCGAAATACACGTGCAAATCAAGAAAGAAGAAACGACTGTCTGCTTGTTCCTCAGCAATGTGCTCCATTGGTTGGACCAATTAGGCATTACGCTAAAACAAAGCCGACGTCGCGCAACGACTCCACCATCCCAACACCCGCAAAGAACCCAAAGTCCAACCACAGCGATCAGTACAGCAAATGAGCAGCAAATGGGCAGCCGATTGTAGCGCAACTGGGCTGGGTAACGGGGCTGGGTAAGAGTGCTACAAGGCTAGCGCTGTCAGCGCAGGCTGGCATCAGTAAACGCACTGAGATAGCTACAACAAAGTCCTCCTCCTTCACTCACCCTTCGAGCCGCACCCAGCGCCCCCATTGGCACAGAAAAAAGAGCAAGCGACTCAATGCTGGGCATGGGTGAGGTGGAGCGTGAGAGACTTTATGAAGACGACCCCTGGGTCAAACGTGTGCCTTCGCAGAGTGGCTACTAGCGAAAGACAGCTCAAACTGCTATCGGTTGGCGCTGTGCAGGCTGGCCTGTGATAGTTTACTCCGTCTGTATTGGCAAACCGAGAACACTACCTCTGTCAGCGCTAGTCGGTGTTGCTCGGCATTCTGCAGTAGGGCGCCGAAGCCCTCCGCTTGCCGAAAGCCAGCAAGGCCGCTGCAGCCATACGTCGCCTCGGCAAGGACGAATATGTATGAAGTACACACTGGTGCAGGCTGGGCTGCAAACGTCTAACTATTGTGACATAGCGACCTTCCCCAATCCCGACCAATGGTCCTTCCATCTTGAAGGTCGTGCAAACTGGTGAGCAGTCTTACTGGGTAGCCACGCCACTGCGGAAACAGGATTTCATCGAGATCGCTATACGCATTCCTCCTCCTATGCCTCCTCCTCGTTTTCTTCCTCCTCCTCTTCTGCCTTTTCCTCCTCCTGGTCTTCCCCATTATCCTCGGATGCCGTTTGCGGAATTGGCCAGCCATCCAGCACCACGAAGGCTTCTCGCAACGAGGCGGCCATGGTTTTCCTCCCCGCCCTGGGCGGGCCTCCTGTTGCAACTGGCCCGGGGGATCAGATTCTGGAAGGGACGGGTGGCGCCACGACGCACATGCCACTTCCGCCACCGCTTTCCCGAGCCGGCGTTCCCTCCAACCCCGGCTGGCACTTTTTCGGCGCAAGCTTTGGGAAAAGCAGGCTGGGGAGGAATTCTGGGGGTCCCAGACCCCAGAGACCCCAGTCGCCCGAGACGTCCTCGGAGAACGAGATAAGCCGACTCACCACGCTGGGTCATATTTGGAATCTGTGGCGGTCGTTCCGGACGATCGCGGCACCCCAGGAACGCTCTCGGCGACGCGCAGCTGCTGGAACGCACCCCGAGGCAGGAAAAACCCAGGAACCAATGACAACGTTCGATAACACAAGATCCCCGCCGACTCACCAAATTGTGCTGTCACCGCACTGTCCCTGGGTTCCCGAAACGAGGGAGACCGGGAGAGGAACGGACGAACGAACGCACGAAACCACCGTCGCCCGGAAACCGACGTCCCTGCAAGGGGGACAGGCGCGCTGGTCGCGCGCATGCTTTCTAAGACGGCCACCAGATGTGTGATTTCGCCGAAATCACGTGAAACGCGAAACGTTTGCACGAAAAGTCATGCTGTCACCGCCATGCGTGCTGCAGATACTCCCGCTCGCTCTGTTGCCAGACAATCTCACTCGATGCCGCGTGCGTCCACGAGTTCCAGCTGGCACTGCTTGCAAACAAAGCACCAACTCGCCCTCCCATCTGCTGAATCGACCTGGCCAGGAGCGACTTGGGCATCCGATTGTCCTTTTTGATTGTTCCACCAGGCATGATCCCTCCATTGAATCACTAGTTTGGCCCATCGTGTGATTATCCTGCATATCGGTGATACTGTCAGAGAAGAACTGCGACATTTTTGTTTCAGAGCTAGACTTCTTCATGCGTGTTTCTGACAAGCTTGCAGATCTGGCACAACCTGATCGCAGATTATGAAGAAAGTCCTCTGAAATATCATCATCGGGTAATCAGTGTGCCCAAAGCATTGACATCGATGTTGCAGCTGACCAATGGGTATTATTGTCTTGGTACGTTCATCTTCTCGTTTTGGGAGGCAGTTTTCCCAGAGCGCTGTGCGCTGCATTTGTCCGCATTCATGTGCAGACCGATGTTTGCGAGCTCGTCACCGCTAACATGCTTGCCAAGACCTGCTTTCATCGGGCCACGAGCGTAAAGTCATCGGCCAACACGGCAGAAGTCATCCAGTTCTTCTCCCGAAAACTGTTGCTGGTGATGCTGCCGTACCGCTTCTTCTCCCACGCGGTCCTGACTGCGTCCGTGAATGATGCTGGTGACATAGGACCTCCTGGCCGAGCGTCACGAATCATATTGGTATTGATGCATGTGCTTCGCGTCTCGTGGTCAAGCTGAATCTACGCCCGCTGCTCCTTGTACAGATCCTGAACGGCTCACAAGCCGCTCGTGCTGATGCCGGTGTTCTGCAGACCCGCACGAAACGCCGCATGTATGATCTTGTCGAATTATGTTCGAAATTTATTGGGGACACCCAAACAGTCTCCCCCCATTCAATGCTCTTCTCGCTGATCGGACGCATGCAAGAGACCAAGTCGCAGCATCCGTGACCCTTGCAAAATCAAGCTTCTTCCGGCTTTCTGTGTCTATCCAAGATGCGATCCATTCGCTTCAAGAGCACGCTGCTGTACAACTCACTCAAAACTGGGATGAACGTGAAAGGCCTGTAATTCATCGGGTCGGTCGTCTCGCCTTTTGTGGAGAAAACGGCAGGCAATCTAGGAGGTGCGCCACGAGTCCGGTGCCCAGGACACGTCGGTGAGCAGGTCAGCAAAAATCTCGGCGATGGCATTCATCATGTCATTCCCGCCCGCCGGCATCTCGGCCATCAAACAGTCCTCAACGTTAGCCTTGTCCCGCTTCTTTCGGGAAGTGCTCCATGCGACGTCGGGAGAGGGCAGGCAGAAACAACGAGGCGGATGAGACGGGTGTGCGGCCGTGGGGAGTGAGCCACCATCTCCTTTTCGCTTTCCCCTCTTCTTTCTCCTGGCGTTCCCTCGTCACCTCTTCCCCCACCGCCTCGTCCTCGAACCCATCCTCCTGCTCATCCCGCTCCTCCTCCACCTCCTCGCCCGCCTCCTTCTCCTCCTCACTCCTCCCATCCTCCTCCCTATGCTATCCCTCCTCGTCAACCTTTTTCCCAGTCCGATCCTCACACCCTATCCATATTTACTATTGGTGCGTACTCCCACTCTACCACCTGGCCGTCCGATAGCACCCATATCCAAGCCCCTCCATCTCAACAATGGAACGCAATAAAAAGCTAGCGCTTTCCTTTTCAACATGGACGTGTTGTCGCCGATGTTGCAACATGCGCAGCAGTAGTAGGACGTGACGCACGTCGCGAGCGAGGGACGGAAATGTCGCTCTCGCCTCGGCGCTGCGCTCATTTGTCATGAGAGCAGAGTTCCTGCTTGGGCGCGGCTGACTTTTGTCGTTTGCCCAAATCGTCGGAATCGATGCTGCGATCGAGTTCGAACTTGCTTTCTCGCCAAAGCAGCGCGCTGTTTCTGTCTGAACGTGGCGCTCTGGGCGCAGCGAAATAAATCCTGGGATTGTGAGCGGGACCGCGTGCGAGCGGGCGAAACATCGCTCTCGCCTGAGCGCCGAACACATTTCGTCTGAAAGTGGAGTTCCCGCATAGGCGGCACATATTGTACGACCGCAGAGTCGTCGGGAGACGGAAGCGAGGCCCGCGCGCGAGCGGGAGAAACGTTGCTCTCGAAGCGCCGCGCAGAGGTCTCCTGGAAAGTGACTCTATTGCTCCAGCGCGGCGCATGCTTGGTCTTCGCCATTTCCATCGGAGAGGTGGCCCGCGTGCGAGAGGTGGGACGCACAGAGACATACTAATACTATATGTCCTCCTTGGAGGCACGCGTCCGACCCGAACATGTAGTAGTCCCATCTTGTAGTAGATTGCTTCCCGAGCGGTTTGGCCACAAAGCGCCCGCCACGAAGCATCTACTATAAGATTCCTCGGTGCGCGCGTCGCCCCTGCGGGGGCGCCACACACATAGGAGAAGTATGTTGGGGTGACGCCAAGGAGAGCTGGATGGAGTCCTCGCCCAAGCGCCGCGCGGGACCTCTCCAAAAGTTCCGCTTCCGCCCGCGCGCTGGCCGTGCTCTTTTGCCCCTCGCCAGGACGTCGGACGCGGGGTCGCGCGCGAACGTCTTCCGCTCGCGGGGCGGGGACGCGCGCAAGTCCGCGACGAGGTCCGGCCTTCGGCCCTCAACTCTTCGGTCCGCGGCGGCCTCTCGGGACGATTGGGGCCCAAACCAGAACGCTCCCGGCGAGGCGCCGCCGCCAGAGAGCACCCCTGGGCGGGGTGTGGGGGGGAGGAGGGGGTGGGCGAAGGGGGGAGGCCGAGGAGGAGACGTGGGCGTCAGCATCCACCACTGCGTTGTGGGAGGGAGGGTGGGCATGGACGCGGCCCGCTGGCTCGTTCGAGCTGGTGACCCTGACGCCTACTGAGATTCGTGTCCTCTTTCACCGCCTCCTCCCCGCCCCCCTCCCCCTCATCGTGCCCATCTTTCTCTGGTCCCTCCCCCCCGTTCCCCAACTCCTCCTCGCAGCCCCATCTTCAAGCAAGTTGCGTTGCTCGGACTTTGGTGCAGACCCGCGGTGTCTGCTCAAACTTCTTCCCCTACTCCTCCTCATCACTCCCCTTTTTATCGACCCCTGTTCAACCCCTCCTCCTCCTCCTCCTCCTCACAACCACCACCATTCTCCTACTCCTCTTCCTCCTGCTCCTCCCACTCTCATCGTCCTCCCCCTCCCCTCCTCACCGCTCTCCTCCTCCTCGTCCTCCTCCTAGTTCTCCTCCTCCCCCCTCCTCCCGATCGTCACCCCCTGCTCCTGGTCCCCCCCTCCTCCTCTCCTCGTGCTTCGAATCCTCTTCTTCCTCGTGCCCGTCCTCCTATTCCTCCTCCTCCTCCTTCTCCTCATCCTCCTCCTCCTCCCGCTCCCGCCCCCTCGCCCCCTGCTCCATACAGGAATCAAGCGTGTCGGTAGGGCCTGCCGAGTTTTTCGCCTGCAGGCGCCCTCACCTGTTACAAGATTGAAACTTCCGAATTCGAACATCTGCACGTGTAGATGGCGGTGTTTTGTCAACATGTGGCTCTGGTCATTGCGCCGCATACATTCGGCCTCGATGGTTCACCATCCTCACGGGTTGAGGGCGAACCGGTCCCAAAACGACACTCCCGACTGAGTGCAGCGCACACTCGTATGAGAAGGCTCGAACAATTGCATGGACGGACTGCTTTTCAAAGAAGGGCAGCCGCTCGAGACGTTCAGACATACACCTGGCCATGTGCTTATCCAGCTCTGGCCAAGGCCAGCGGCGTCATCTGAGCGACGACCAGAAAGGGGTCTTACGCGAGATGACATAGCGGCCTTACGCCGCAGCTTACGCAAACAGCCAGCGCGGCACGCTGCACTGCAGGTGAGGGCGCTTACGCGCGACCTTACGCGGGCAGCTCACGTGCGAATGCTGGCGCAGTCGAACCCGTGTTGCGCCGCTCATGTGTATCGAGCTCCTGGCAGGCCTTTGCCGGAAGCCTCAGGGGGTATGGCACGGGGCAGAGATGCCCCAAACACTGTCTCGAAGCTCGAGCCCGCGATCCCCCCCGTTGACGTTTCCTCCTCCAGCTCCCGCCCTTGCTCCCTCTCCGTCTCCCCCCGCTGTCGCTACTGCTGCTACGGCTCGTCCTCATCAGCATCACCAGCATCAGCACCACCATCATCATAATCATCATCCTCATCATCATCCTCACCACCATCATCGTCGTCACCATCATCAGCATCATCATTATCTTTGTCAGTTTCATCGCCATCATCGTCATCACCACCACCACCAGCATCATCAGCATCCTGCTCATCATCATCAGCAGCAACACCATCATTATCATCATCACCAGCATCGTCAGCATCATCATCATCATCAACATCATCACCATCATCGTCGTTACCATTATTATCATCATCATCATCATCATCATCATCACCAGCAACATCATCTTCATCATCGTCATCGTCATCGTCGTCATTGCCGTCACCATCACCATCATCATCATCATCAACATCATCAACATCAACATCAACATCAACACCAACCTCAACTGCAACATCAACGTCAACATCAACAACATCATCATCTGCATCAACGTCATCCTCGTCATCCTGCTCGTCCTCATCAAGCAACCGCGTGTGAACCATACCGTGCGAGCCCAAACTTCCCAATCGCCGGGACGTCTGCAGCCGCCCGAACACAAGCTGGGGTGTCCGACACCCAGGCGTGGACTCGACCCGCAGGGCCCTTCGCAAACTCACCCTCCTCATCCTCACCATCACCGTCACCATCAACGTCATCCCCCCCTTTCCTCACTCACCCTCCTCATCATCACAAACCCGCGGCGAACATACCCGCATCCGCACCCTCGTGGCCTGGATTCCGGGTCGCGAGGCCGCGGATACGTGGTCGCGAGGATGCGCCCCGCGCGGGGCGTCCGCGACAAAAACGCCCCGCCTCCGCAAACGTCGCGGCCCAGGGGCCTGACCCGTGATGGTAAACGTTTTCTTATTACCTGTTTCGACATTGGGCGGAAGGGGGGGGGGGGAGGGAGGAGTCTGGCTACAGACCTCTGCTTCATGCGACTGCTTGCAACAGTCCGTCCTAAGGTGCCAACAACAGCCAAGATTTGCTACAGGGGGGGGTGCGATGACCCGCGCCGATTGGCAAAACAATGAATAAGAAGACGACGACATCCGGCTCGACCACAAGAAACCTTCCACAAGACACCCAACCCTGAGACCCCAGGGCGCCCATCGATTTGTGGTTGTGGGAGCGTCACGCTTCCCGCAGCAGAACCTCCACTGCACGGCTGCCTGCTTCGCCCCTCCGCGTCGCTCCAGACGGATCCGCCTGGCGCTGCTCCGGCGCCACCAGCATGCTCACGGGGTCCAGGGCGCCCCACACGGGCCTCGGGTCGCCTGGCGCCGCGGGCGCGGGCGCGCACCGCCGCGCGGGCCCCGGCTAACCTTCGTCCGGCGGCGAGCCCAGAGGGGGGGGGAAGTGAGCGGGAGAAGGCCTGCTCAGAAGGCTCGGAAGTCCCCCGGCCCTCTGGGAAGTTGACTGAGCCTTCACCCCCAAGACGCAGGAAACTCCTCAGAAGGCGCGAGGGCTTCTGCGAAGTCCCGGCGCCTTCCGAGGAGGCCTTCTCCTTCCCACTTCCCCCCTTGCTCGCCGCCGATCTGGAAGTCCTAGAGTCCCCCCCGATAGCGGGAACGATTTCTCTTGTTGACGCTCTCGTTGACGGACTGCGGTCCCACCAATAGCGGGACATGCTTCTTTCTCCGCGGCACCCGCCGCTCGTCAACGACGACGATGACGATAACGACGACGACGACGACTATGACCCCGACCACCATTCGACGCAATGACGACTGCGACTACGACAACAACCAAGACTACGATTACGGCTACAATCGCGACTACAATCACGATGACAACTACGACTACAACCAAGACTACAATCACGACTACAACTAGAACCACATACCTATACGACCACCCTTCGGGTGGCAAGGAGGTTCGGGGGGGAGGAACCAACGTCTCACTCGGTCGGTCTCACCATCGATCTCACTATCGATCTCACTATCGGTCTCGCTCGATCGATCTCACTCGATCGATCTCACAATCGATCTCACTCGATCTATTTCATTCGATCGATCTCACAATCGATCTGACTATCGATCTCACACTAGACCTCACGATCGATCTCACAATCGATCTCACATTCGGTCTTACTATCGATCTCACGATCGATATCACAATCGTTATCACAAACAACGACATCATCATCATCATCATCATCATCATCATCATCATCATCATCATCATCATCATCATCATCATCATCTACATCATCGTTACCGACATCATCAATATCATCATCACCATCATCGGGACACCATCATCACCATCACCTCATCACCATCATCATCAGCATCATCATCATCGGGACATCATCATCGTCACCATCATCATCAACATCATCATCATCATCAGCATCGGGACACCATCATCATCATCGGAACGCCACCATCATCATCATCGCATTGCCATCATGAACAACATCATCAACACCATCATCATCGGGACACCATCATCATCAGCAACATCATCATCACCCTCGTAATCATCGGGACACCATCATCATCGTCACCATCATCATCATCATCATCATAATCATCATCATCATCATCATCGGGACACCATCATCATCATCATCAACAACATGATCATCATCATCACCATCATCGGGCCACGATTGTCAAAATCATCATCATCACCTTATCATCGTCCTCATCATCAACATCATCATCGGGACACCATCATCATCATCAACATCATCATCATCATCATCACCGGGACACCATCATCCTCATCACCATCATCAACAGCATCATCATAAACCACATCATCATCGGGACACCATAATCATCATCATGAGCTTCATCATCATCATCATCATCATCTACATCATCTCATCATCATCATCTCATCACCATCACGATCATCAGGATCATCATTATCATCATCATCATTATCATCATCACCGGGACACCATCATCAACAACATCATCATCAACATCATCATCATCGGGACACCAACATCATCACCACCATCACCATCAGCATCATCATCACCACTATCATCAACATCGTCGGTATCATCATCATCATCATCATCATCATCATCATCATCATCATCATCATCATCTGGACACCATCATCACCACCATCACCATCACCATCATCACCATCAACATCATCGGCATCATCATCGGCATCATCATCATCATCATCATCATCATCATCATCATCACCATCAAGACACCGACGGGACACTGGTGGGACACCGACGAGACACCGCGCGCCACCGGCCCCTGGACAGGAATCATTTGGTCCGACCGCGCTTCAGCCAGAGGCGGGACACCGGCGGGACACCGCGCGCCACCGGCCCCCGGTCAGGAATCATTCGGTCCGGCCGCGCCTCAGCCGGAGGCGGAACACCGGCGGGACACCGCGCGCCACCGGCCCCCGGTCAGGAATCAGTTGGTCCGGCCGCGTCTCAGCTGGAGGAGACTTTCTTCTCGCCCGCCCACGCAGGTTCGCCTCGCCCGCACGCACGGCACGCACAAACACGAAATCGGAACCGATTTCCCGGTAGGGGGGCTCTCCGTTCCACTTCGATCTCACCCCCTCACCTCCGACTCCTAGTGCAACTCTCATGAAAAAATGCTCACGTATCCTCTCGCGTGTAGGGTCACCCATGGATTGTTCCATGTGGGTCAGAGACCCCCCAACTTTACGAAACCCACCCAACAAGTACAGGGAACATGATTTCCGCCGCACTTCTACGACTACGACTACGAATACACCCACAACTACGTTCACGACTACAATCACGCTTGAAATCACGCTTACAATCACACGACGACCACGACTACAACCAGGACCACTGATTCCTATTGCAGTTCTCATGAGAAGATGACCAAAATGCTCTCGCGTGCAGGGTAGCCCACAAATGATCATTCCCTGGAGAAAGATCCTTCCAACATTATTCAGCCCACCCAACAATAGAGGGAATATAATCTTCGCCGCGACGACGACGACGACTGCGATAACGACCACGAGGAGCAGCAGGAGAACGAGGAGGGGGAGGAGCAGGAGGGGGGGAGGAGGAGGAGGAGGAGGAGGAGGAGGAGGAGGAGGAGGAGGAGGAGGAGGAGGAGGAGGAGGAGGGGGGTGAGGAGGAGGATGGACAGGAGGAGGAGGAGGGGCGAATTAGTTCCCGCCGAGAGAAGCGGGTGTGTGTGTGTGTGCAAAACTAAAGACCTCCGAGGGGCAAGACGAAGCACGACAACGGCAGAGGCCGAGAATGACAGCGCCCGAATGAAACGTCACGTGCTCGACCACGGACCTATTGCTACCCATCGCCTTCGGCGGACTTCGGCGGTCTTCGGCAGCACTCGGGGTAATTGCGCGGGACTGCTCGGTCCTGGCGGCCGCGGCATGCAGGGCTGGCTGGCGGGCTTTCTGTAAACCTACGACCCCGACCTGTGGGGTGGGGTTTGTGCTTACTTGGGTCCTGTCAGGCGGGCTGCCATCGAGTCGGCCTTCTGAGGGCGGCCTCTGGAGCGCTCCGACAATCCCCCGTTCTGCCAACGGGCTGGGAGACCTCAACCCACTCCGCCTCCTCCTCCGCCTCCTCCTCCTCCCCCTCCTCCTCCTCCTTCTCCTCCCCTCCGCCTCCACACCGGCCCCCACACCTCTCCTGGGGCGTGCTCTGCCGAGGAGCCCCGGGCGCATCCGGCCGCGGCGGCGAGGGCAACCCCCGAGGCGCAAGGAGGCCGAACAGATGGTCGCCGTCGCCGTCCTCAAGATCATGGAGCGGGGCTCAGAATCCGCCACAAGTCGAGCTCGATCCTAAACTCCTCCCCGGGCCAACCCTGGGTCCACCTTGCCCGAGCCGAGCCCGACCGCTGCTGCCAGAGCGCCAGGAACGCTCGGAGTCCGAAACGACGACGACCACCTTGACGTAACAGCCGTCGTCAGTTTCGCCCTCCCCCTCCGCCTCGAATTCGTCCCCCAGACCCCCGGACCCCTTCAGGGGGTGCGCTCTGCCCAGAATGTCGAGGCGGATCCATCAAGCCGTGGCGACGAAAAGTCCCCAGCAGGCCCACACAGGGAAAAACACTTGAAAACCATGACAAAGGAAACTCCTCATGGTCGTCCCGTCGTCGCCGCCGTCGACGCCGTCGCCAGCAGCGTCGGCAGCGTCGGTGGCGGCGTCGTCGCCGCCGTCGCCGCCGTCGCCGCCAGAGTCGACGGCGTCGTCGCGGCCGACACCGGCGGCGGCGGCGTCGTCGCCATTGTCGCCGTCGCCGCCGCCGCCGCCAGCTTCGGCCGCGTCGAGACGGCGTCCGTCGGCGTCGTCGACGGCGCCGCGCGGACGCTCGCCGAGAGCCCCCAGGCCGCCGCCCAGGGCGGAGTGGCTCGCCAGCGGCGACGCGGGCCCCTTGGGGGGCGGCGCGGGCGCGCGCACCAGTGCGGCGGGCCAGCTTTGGGGCCGTGCACCGAGGGCGAGCTGCTGCTCTGAAGCAGGCTTCTTAAGGGCTCGTCGACTTTTTCGATTTTTCGCCAATCGACTTGTGGGGATCGAGCCAGATAAGTCCAGGTAAACGCAGAAAAATCTAGGTAAATCCAAATAAATACAAGTAAATCCAGGCAAATCCAGATAGATCCAAAGATCTTCAGGAGACGCTGGAGCAACTCGCGGCCGCTCCAGCGCGAGTCGAAGGACGGCGGAAGTCGTTAAGCCTTTATGACGACAGGCGGCCCCAGACCTCCGACTTGTGGAACGAATCGCAGCGGAGATTCTTCCTCAAGCTTCGGCCTCGGGGCTGTCAGAAAACAACATATGGGGGAGGAAACGCCGGTCCTCTGGGAAAGGTGCAGCCCTCTGGGGAGCGACGCCGGGCAACCAAACGCCCCTGGGCCCCCTCGATCCGAGGCCTGGATCGATCAGCATCGCATCGGAATGCGCGGATCGGAATGAGCGTCGGATCGGGTCGCACCGGCACAGAGTCGGAATCGAATCGATTTGGTCGCGCAGGATGCACAACAACATGCAAACATCGGGCCGCGTCGGGTCGTCGCGATATCGGAATCGGATCGAAGAGGTCAGAACCGATACCGAATCAGGCCGATCGGAGCGAAATGGACCCTACACTGGCGGCGATCATCCCTCATCACCCGCGCTGGGGTCGCCGCCGCGTCGACGCGGCGCAAGCCGACCGCCCCCACGTCGGTAGCGCTGGCGCTTCCCACGCGCAGGAGTAATCAACACATCGAACCGGGGCATCGGATCTGATCGGAATGTGCAGCCGATCGGGCTGCACCCGCACGGATGCGAAGGCGATCACGGCAAGCTGCGCCAGAACGGTGGAGGCCAGTCCACAAGAGACCTTCCACAAAAAAACTGGACCCCGAGAACCCAGGGCGCCCATGGATTTTTGGTGTGGGGACGTCACGCCTTCCACAGCAAAACCATCGAAATCCAAGAAACCCAGGGCACCCTGGAGGCAAGCGGGGTGTTTCTTGGCATGGGCTTCCACACTGTACGTGGGGTAGGGATCAACTGCATACTTGATTTACCACAGAATCGACTTCCTCCTCGCATCTGCGCGCAATACGTAGACTGCTTGGTAGATCGACGGAGCACCCTACGCCTCTGCTGTAAGACTCGACAGGAACATGAGTTTTGGGGCTAGACCAGTTCTGTCATCGATCCCCTGTACTGCAGGTCCGTGCCGTGTCGACCCTGGCGTTGGTTCCTGACACCGCGCTGGATCGTTCAACCTTGAACGATCGGCCGCTGCCGCAACGTCCGATCGTTCAACATCGACCGATTCTGGGTCGCCGGCGGCGTTCAACCTTGAACGCCCGCGCTGGGGTCGCCGCTGGTCGACACGACGCAAACCTACCGTAGTCGAACACGACGTAGACTGAAATCCGACCCTTCCCACAGGGCATCCCGAGAGGGTGCGTGTGCCGCCCCCTGGGCCCGGTCAGGCCCCCCAGGGGGCCGAAAGCTGCCAGAAGCACCCCGTCGTGAGTGTTCGGCCTCGACGCCCGGCGGCTCGGGTCCACGAGCGGCGAGCCTACCCTTCGGTCAGGCATGTCCCCCTACAGGTGGATTTTCGGTGAACAAGCAAAAATACAAAAAAAGCCCAGAAATAATAATAATAATAAAAAAAAAACAAATCGTCCCCAGACTATATGTTTGTTTTACTATGTTTGGATAGTCCTCCTGTGGAGGGACAGGCCCGACTGAAGTTTAGCGCATCGTGCCCCGAGGCATGTGACCGGGCGTGGAAGGGGGAGAAGAAGAAGCAGAAGAAGAAGAAGTAGCACAACGAGAACAATCTGACGATGGGGCAATGACATCTCGGGAGCGCCATGGCCCCAGCAGTGATACAGAAGACGCATCGGATACGAAGGCTTGCTCTTCTGGGGGCACGCGACTCGTCGACCAGTGAGAGCGCCAAGGTGCCCCAGAGCACATGTGGGTCCCTAAGGCCATCGGGGGATCAGACATTCCTGCGGGGCACCAGCTGACAGGCCGACCTATTACTTTAATGTACATATGTCGGGGAACAAGCAATGACATAAAAAGACAAACTCAGAGGTCCGCGCAAATTCCTCCGATCGGCGCTGGAGGCGCCGCCTGGAGGAGGCTCCGGCGCCGATCAAAAAAATCTGCGCGGACCTCGGAGTTTATTATGTGTGTGCCATTGCTAGCTTCACGAATATGGTGGGGGCATACCACTGGATCAGGAACCCAGGAGTCTGGAGGCCGGCTGAACTCTAAACAGGGATTGCCCATTGATGCCACCGCCGCCCTCCTCAGATGAGGAATCCTTCAGGGTCTGAAGCCTCCTGGGCGCATTCCTGAACCAACGCCCCCACCGTACTGCACCTCCTCCCGGACGCCCCCGATACCCCGCGGAGACGCGCGAGGCGGCACCGGCGGCGACGCGGGAGCGGCGGAGGGAGGGCAGGCCTCCTCCGCACCACATCGACAAGGTTGGATCGGATCGGAGCACAGTGAAGGCCAGTCCACAAGAAACCGCCCGCATAAAACCCAACCCTGAGACCCCAGGGCGCCCATGGATTTGTGAAGTGGGAGCATCGCGCTCTTTCCATCGCAAAAAACATGGGACCCCCAGAGACCCAGGGCACCCTGGAGGCAAGCAGGGTGTTTCTTGGCATGGGCCCCAGCTGCATGCTGGGTTTCGACATGTGGCCGCAGGGTGGGAGAGGGGGGGAGGGGTCTTGGCCTTGGCCGGTGCTCAGTCGATCTGTTTCTAGAAGTCACGCAGGCAGACCGGAGGGGAGAGGCCCTGAGCCGTCGCCGAAAGCAGCCGCCCAAACGCAACCAAGATCTGGTCTATGGGAGGGGGGCAGGGGCCCGCGCCGATCGGCTAAATAATAAATGTAACGCCGACGTGCGAGGTCGGATCGGGTTGCTTCGGCAACGGGGTCGAGCTCGGATCGGGTCGGCCGCGTCAGGGGGCGCCCACAAGCACTGCGCAGGCATCGGGCTCGCATCGGGCCGACAGGGAAAATGAAAAACGCACCCGGACCGAGCCCAGGCGAGGTGGGCACCGAACATCGCATCGACCGCATCGACCCGCGGCCGCTTGAGGGGCAACGATGGGCGGGGGACGGCTCACGGGGGGAAAAAACGTCGACGTGGAGTCATCAATGCGGCGACAGGCCCTCGACGGCGAGCCCGTGCCATCCTGGACGGGGCGGGCTGTCGAGCCCCCTGTCGGGGAGAATGGGCGATTCGGAGGTCGATGCACCTCCCTGGGCCTGCCCCCCCCCCCTAACGTAAGAAAACAAGAAAACTGCATAACCACCACAACCTTTCGAAGCCCCGCGCGGATGTCTTGGATCGGCACTGGACCCCCTCCCTGGCGGGGTGAAGGGCCAGGGGCGGCGCCGGCGGATAATAAAGTTCGGGGGCCCCGGGGGATAAGAAACAATTTTTCCCAGAAGGTCGAACGTGGGATGTATGACGAGGAAAGAGGTGGTGGTCGTCGTCGCCGTCGTCGCAGGACGACGACGGCGATCACAACGACGACGACGACGACGACGAACACAACGATGACGACGACGACTTAGCCCTGAAACACGTTCGTGACTTCAGAGGGGACCACAAAGGGGGGGATGGAAAAGGAAAGACAAGGGGAGGGGAGGAGGAGAGTGGGAGAGGAGAGATGCCCCAGGACTATTTCTGCACAACAAGATATGATTCGGGCCGTTGCGTCTTCTTCTATGTAAAATATATTGTTTTAGCGGTTATCGGCATCACACGTGTAGGTGAACATGGAGGCCCGTTTCTATATGCGTATATATATGTATATATATATAAATATAAAAAAAAAAAAAAAAAAAAAACCGTGGGAAACAAAACTTCGAAGGGAGGGGGGGCGGGCTAGTCAAAAAGAGGACAGTAATGGGTAGTAGTAGTACTAGTAGCAGTAGTCGTAGTCGCAGTAGAAGTAGTAGTAGTAGTAGTAGTAGTAGTAGTAGTAGTAGTAGTAGTAGTATCAATTGTAGTTGTAGTAAAGGTAGTAGTAGTAGAAGCAGAAGAAGTAGTAGTAGCAGTCGTAGTAGTAGTAGTAGTAGTAGTAGTAGTAGTAGTAGTAGTAGTAGTAGTAGTAGTAGTAGTAGTAGTATTGGTGGTGGTAGTAGTAGTAGTAGTAGTAGTAGTAGTGGTAGTAGTAGTACTAGTAATAATATGAGTGTAGTAGTCGTTAGTTAGTAAGTAGTAGTAGTAGTAGTAAGTAGTAGTCGTAGTAGTAGTAGTAGTAGTAGTAGTAGTAGTAGTAGTAGTAGTAGTAGTAGTAAGTAGTAGTATGGTGGTAGTACTAATAGTGGCGCTGCGGTAGTAGTAGTAGTAGTCGTAGTAGTAGTAGTAGTAGTCGTAGTAGTAGTAGTAGTAGTAACAGTAGTAGTAGTTATCAATCGTAGTTGTAGTAAAGTAGTAGTAGTAGTAGTAGTAGTAGTAGTAGTAGTAGTAGTAGTAGTAGTAGTAGAAGCAGAAGAAGTAGTAGTAGTAGCAGTAGTAGTAGTGGTGTAGTAGTTGGTTGTAGTAGTAGAGTAGTAGTAGTAGTAGTAGTAGTAGTATTTGTAGTAGTAGTAGTAGTAGTAGTAGTAGTAGTGGTAGTAGTAGTAGTAGTAGTAGTAGTGGTAGTAGTGGTGGTAATAGTAGTAGTACTAGTAAAAGTAGTAGTGAAAGTAGTGGTAGTAGTGGTAGTAGTAGTAGTGGTAGTAGTAGTAGTAGTAGTAGTAGTAGTAGTAGTAGTAGTAGTAGTGGTAGTAGTGGTAGTAGTGGTAGTAATGGTAGTAGTGGTAGTAGTAGTCGTAATAGAAGTAGTAGCAGCAGCAGCAGCAGCAGCAGCAGTAGTAGTAGTAGTAGTAGTAGTAGTAGTAGTAGTAGTAGTAG